CATCTCAGGGAGAAAACACGATGGATGGTGTTTCTGTGTCTCCGCACATAGCATTACTGATCTCCAGAAGATTCCAGGGAAGGCAAGCTGTTCACTGGCATAACCAGAGTGGTGATCCTTATTTTCTTGGATAAAACTGTCAGACTGGTTTAGTTATAGAACTAATTTGAAGAAAATGACTCCGGTCATATTCAATATAGTTCAAACCACTAATGGAGATATCAAAAAGTGATGGCATCCATGGTTGGCAAGGGAAAATGGGGCTTTTGCTTTGGAGTGTTGCATATGGTAAAGCCCAGGCGGGAGATGATTTACAAACCATTTTCAAAATTCAATACACAGGACTAGGACTTAAATCAGAATTTCTGTTTTCATAATCTTGTAAAAATAGTTAAAATAGATGTCCATTACAGTACTATCTTTCATGGAAAAGTGGCATTTAATAACAAATATCCTTCAGTTGATAGGTGAAATAAATCATAGTACACTCAATGGGGAAAAGTTTTAAGATCACAGTGTTGGATGGAAAGGGCTATTGCTGTTCATGTTTGTAGAGTGTGATCTCATTTGCATGAAAACAAAATATCTCAGAATTTGTGTGCCTATATGAACAAAATGATCTGGAATCTCTCCATACATGAACAAAATGGTCTGGCGGGACATCAGTGTTAAGAAAGGGCATTTCCACATAGGGTGTGCGCAGAAGATGGGTCAACATGGTCTTTTAGGATTATAGATTTCACAATGATAAACAAAAGTAAGATATATGGGCTTATTACATACATAATTAGAAATATTTTAAAAGAGCAAAGTCAATCCACGTTTTTAAATATGGCAACCATAACCAGTACCTTCCCATATTATCCCAGAGAAGAGCACACCACTCTTTTCCAGACATGGGTCTGCCGCTGACTGGGATCTGCCACTGACATATAATGCTGATTAGATTAGGTCCATCTCTATTCGGGAATCCTACTAATGGAATAATAGGGTTCTAGTCTGTTGCTTCTTCAACATGAAACTAAGCTCACCCATGCCATCACTCCTGCTGACACTGAAGTGACTTGGAAAGTGCTTTCAGTTTTTAGGTACAAGTCAACTGACTCTCTGTCCTCACCTGTCCTGGACTGTCCAGTTTAGTCACTAACAAATGTGTTTCTCTTGCAGCACAACCTTAGAATCACACAATCAATGGACATGTTGTTCTTCCATTTCCTTAATGTGCAAAATGTGAGAAACTAAATTCCTTGCCCAATGCCTGCTCCTTGCCCCTGCACTTGCTCTCTTTTTCTGGGGTTACTAATCTTCCCCAATGCACTGTACAAATCTTCCTGGAAAATACAGAACAAACTTGTGCTGCTTTACACTTCTTCCTGAGTCACCACTGCTAGCTACATCTCAGAGATTTAAGTCGTTTCCATGAGTGGTCCTGTGAACAATCATAGTTGGACTGACATTCATTTAAATATTTAAAAGAGATTTTCAAGTACAGATTCCCAAACATCTTTTCACATTTTAACAGAAATAAATTGCATAATAAAATGTAGGTTGAAAATATAAATCAGACTGAACTCACAGAAATATCTTTTGAATGTTCAGTAACAGGAGAGCATCATCTCGAGCATGTCTCCCCTTTGGGGCTCTCTGGTCAACAACCCTTTCTCTCTCTTCCCTTAGTCATTTTGGTCTCACTGTCACTTTACTCCTCTCTCAGAACAAAATTCAGTTATTGTTGAAGAACTACAGACTATTTATGCCAACAAAATGAAATGTGTTAGTGGAATCCTCTCGTTCTTTTTATTATTCTGCCATTTGGAGTCAATGCTGTCCAATATGGTAGCCACTAGCCACATAAGGATACTTAAGTTAAGCTTAAATTAATTTAGACAAAATTTAATTTAAAATTTAGTTCCTCATTTTTACCAGCCACAATTCAAGTATTTCACAACCAAGCTTATTAGCAGTGTGCATGGTATGAAACGGCACACACATGGAACACTTTCATATCTACAGAAAGTTCTACCTAACAGTCTTGATCTCAATATTTTGACTTAGACCCTCAGAATAATTTAAAATATTAATAACAAGACAGAAGCTAAATCTTGAGGAGAAAAATTATTTAATCATGAATGAAAGTAACAAACATATTTAATGTGGATGGAAATTAATAATCAGTTTAATTCCTCAATTAAAGGCATGCTCCGAGGCTGAGAATTCGGCTCAGTAATAGGACACTTACTTGGCAAGCCTAAGGCCCAAGCTTTGGTTCTAGCCCCAGAAAATAAAAAAAGTTCTATAAATCTTTAAATTTCTGTTTAATGATTCAATTTCTTTGTAAACACTGTATAAAATGGCTGAATGATAATATTTTTTATTCTAGAATAATCATCTATAGATTTTTCTGGATTACTTTTTAAAAAGAACAATCAAACTGTTCCTCATTTAAGTCTGACCAAGTTTGGAAAGCTTGAGAGAGAGCCCGTCCAACCATTTTTAAGCCTTCTGCATGCCAAGCGAATGCTGCAGTCTTCAATGGTGGGAAACGTTTCATCTCTGCATTTGTCCAAGATCAGCCATTCAGTGTGTTTGCTTATCACTTCCTCCATGAAATCTGCCTGGAACTTCCCCTCTGTATCACCGAACCACCATTTGCCTGCCCATGCCTGCCTGTACCATTACATTCCAATTTCATGTTTTCATACCCATCTTCTCTGTCAAACTAAGTAACAAACAGTGAAAGAGAAGTTCCAAAGAATTAAGTTTATTCTGGAATGGCATTCCGCTGGGAAAGATGGCAGTGGCTTTCATGTCCACGAAACTGCAATTCATAAAATGAGTGAATATTCAAGCTTCAAAAGAGGAGCCCAAATACGTTATAATTACTGAAAGATCACTACTAGTTCTTATGTCTGAGCATAGTTCTAAAAAGCTTGGTTAAAATGCTCACAGTAGCAATCCACTTGATTATAACTCAGCAACAATTCATGCACATTGAAAAACTCATGAAAACAAAATCTAACCGGGAACTATCTGGTCCTTCTCAGCACTACAAAGATATGAGGGAAGTTCCTCGGAGTTTTCCCTACAAATTAAATCGCAAGCCTAGAGATTCATAGTGCTGTCTCTTTATTGTATTTCTCTTTCCTTTAAAATTGATTTTAACTGGTACACAAACACACAAAACTGTGTATATTAATATACATCATATATCTAAAATGCACATATGAGCAGATATGCATTGTGTAGTGTTTGAATTCAGGATGAATATATCTGCCTCCTCAAGCACTTTTCATTTGTTCACGATGAAAACCTTCAAAACCCTTTGCTTGAGGCTTACAAATTGTTCCCTTTAATATCGATGCCGTATCACATTTTAGAACACACGCATTGGAGGGATAAATATTTCTTTGAGCTGGTTGAGGAATTGGGTATGTAGATTTTGCTCTTTAGTTACAGCAATGCCCTAGAGATTAAATTTGAATAGAGATTAGGAATTTCTAAACTCTTCCATATTCATTAGCACAGTTAATGCAAAGTGCTCATGTGCATGATCAGTCTAATTAGTCAGGTAACTTCTGCTTAGTTTATCGGTCAACATTTTCCTCCTTTATTTATTTTTCATTCTGGCCTGAAATTTGGTCGTTTTTTTCCTTATTAGCCTTGTATTAGGGACAAGAGAGGAAAAAAAGGAAAGGAACGTTGCAATGACTATATGTTAAATATATACAAAGTTCTTTTTTAAAAAAATGACTGAGGATATGGAAACTTCTAGTTTAAGTAAGGCTCTAGTAAGCAAAGACAGTAATTTAAGTGATCAAGAGTTATTTCAGTGTTTCTGATTTATGCAAATATGTCCAACATATCATTTCTAATTAATAACAATTATTTCGCAATCATTGTCTTTATTTAGACCTACATGGTAGGGATTGCTATTCCCATTTTCAAGGATCAAAAGACAGAGGATGGAGAGACGAAACCAAGGCCAGGATGAGAAAGCAAGTCATTTGATCTACGCTCAACATCCTTTCCCTGGGACCTGGGTTTTCATGCTTCAGTGTCCATCAGCACTGTAGAAAGCAGGTGAAACCCAGATGCCAGCTCCACCTCTCAAGTTTCTGATTGAGCGCACGTCTGGGATGGGCCTGACAATGTGCATTTCTAGGCAAGCTACTGGATGCTACTACTGCTGGTGGTTCAGAGATCTCACTTGGAGAAAACTTTGCTTTAAATCATGGCTACCTCCTTCTTAACTTCTTTTTACAACCCAGGAGGCTGTGAAACCACCTCAAAGCTGGCAACTTCTCCTAGCAGGGCTTCTCCCACCACCATCACCCCAGTCCCATAGACTGTAACAATCACAGTGTCTGCATGAATCAACTTCTGTTGATTGGTCAAGTGAAACACAAAACTAACCTTTGCTGTGGGGTCTATGTAGCTAAATGCATCATACAGTTCCTCTTCCAAGTCACCAAGTTTATTAAGTACAATGAGATACAAATAAACAAGAAAAACTGTCCCCGTACCCATATCCCTAACTTTCCAAGGGACGCTTTATATCCCCAAGGGAATTTGAGCCTCAATCATAAAGCAGGTATTTGTGGAAACTGTCTTTTCCCCATAGCCACAATCTTGATGCTAGTATTGGCCCACACTTCGTCACCAGCATTCTAAAGGGAATGATATGCTCTTACTTCTTAGAAATAAAAGACAGTCCTTACATTGTCCCAAATAATTTCTTCAACCAGCCCACTTTCCTTTCAGTTGTAAAATACGCCACATTAAATGAAAACTATCCTGTTGTTCTTGTTTTTGTTTTTCAAACTATACTGAAAGTGGCCAAATTGTGGGAACCTCCCCTACTGGTCCTAGAAAATTAACTGGAAAATCAAGATAATGCAAACAGCAACATTTTGTGTATATAAGATCCAACTTGTAAAAATGCAAATGCTGAAAGACATATATTACTGACAGTTGGTGAATGTTTAACATCACGGTCTTACCTATGCATACTAGATCCATAAAACCATACATTCCATAGCAGATTTGAAAAAGGATGTCCTTCCTCTGCCACACTGCATAGGGGCTGAAGGCTGACCAGAGGAGCCAAGTCACACTTGCTATTAAGAACAGGGATCCTAGGATTACAGCAATCATCTGAACTTTCTCAACCAGTGTTATAGAAATGCTCTGCCACTAAAAGAAAAACAGAGGCATGTAAGAAAAAAGTTCTGTATATAATTAAAAAGAAAAGAAAAAACATTTTTCAGTCCTATGCTTCTTTTCATAATGCCCAACCCCATTCAATCTGATCAGCCCCCAAGTGAATTTCTCCCTTATATCCCAGCTATAAAAAAACAGACAAGCAGATAAACATTAATGAGTTGCCTTTAAGTCCATTATATTCATTAATTCACTTTCTGAAAGCTTAATCTGGTTTTACTCCAGATAACACCACTGAGTCTGAATGGTTGGAGAATATTTGATACCTGGGAATCACATTATTATCTTCAATACATGCTTAATTACATGCTAACAACACATGGTGAGGACTCCTCTAAGCCATATTTTGCTTTGCCTTAACATATTTCATTCTTAAGAAAGAGAAAATTCATTCTTCTCCTTGTAGAGAAATATAAAATAAACTATATAAGATCATCAGTGAAAAAAAAATCATTGGAAACAATACATACTAATAAATAATCATTATATGGGAACTACAACATTGTTCTTTATGTCATCAATATATTTTATATACTTAGAAATAACTGACTTTTATTATCCACTGGGTAACCCATGGAACATTTTTATCAAGATTTAGAATTTGTACACAAGTGCAGTATCTTAGAAACTCATGAATCGTATACTGGCACATAGGGAGAGTACGGTGATACCCTAAATATCAGTATTTAAGAGGACCTGCAAGTACTCATGTTCTCCCTTTCATATGTTTGAGGAAAAAAAGCAAGACTAGAATTGTTCTGATGGATGGTCAATAAGCAACCAAACCCAGAAGGGAAAAGCTCAGGCTGTTCATCTGAACTCCAGCGCTAAGACAGCCTTCTCAACAATGAGCTAAACCAGTCAGTGTCCAGCCAATAAACCTGAGGTTTCCTAAAGCTCATACTTACCTGAAGTCTGAGTATATGCCTCCTTCAGCAGCAAATCTGCCATCATCTATAATTTCCCTTCATTGTTTCTCTCTCCGTCCTCCCTCCCTCCCTCCACCTCTTCTTCCCTCCTTCTCTGTGTCACACACACATCATCAGTAAATAATACAACAATCTACTTGAAATATTTTAAACCTGCACTTGAACTTCAGTATGCATGGATATTACTAAACTATATTTGTTACAGATCATAATAAAAATCATGTACTTTAAAAAAGACAGAACACTAGGCAGTTGTTTAATAAGCATATTGCTTTTCATTTTAATGTGAAATTCCTTTTATTTTTTATTTTTTTGGCTGTGACAAACCTGAACGAATAATAAACTAGCTTATACTATTTTATCTTTACAAATGAATAATGTTGTATCTCAAGCATAATTTTTGCTTTTCTCCTTATCTTCCAGAAATAATTAGGAAAACATTAATTCCACCTGCTGGGTATTTGAATTTTAAAACATCTTAAGTTTTGTGTTACCAAGCATTAATGTCACTTGTTCTTGTTTAGTTTGAATTTGTGTTAAATTCTGCCTTAAACACAGGACAGTAAGCAACACTGAAAGCTGGCCACATCCTAGCTGAATGTTGCCACACTAAATGCATTGGGCCCTTTATCAATGCATTCATTATACGGTCTCAATCACATAGCCCAGACTTTTCTGGAATTCACCATCCTCTTGGTTTTTTAAATTTTTATTTATTATTTTTATCTTATGTTTTTTACTGTATTGCCTACATGTGTGCAAGTGTACCCATGTTGTGCAATGCCCACAGAGGCCAGAAAAGGGCATCGGATTCCCCTGGAACTCAAATTATAGACAGTGTTAGCCATCATGTGGGTGCTGGGAATTGAATCCAAGTCCTCTGCAAGAACAGCTAGTGCTATTAACTGTTGAGCCATCTCTCCAGCCCATCCTCTCATTTTATAGCTTCCCAAGCATCAGGAAGTCAGTCCACTAACACTGAATCTAAAACAATTTGTATAGTATGTCTCTGTGTGAGTGTGTGTGTGCTTCTGTGTGTTGAGTGTAGTGTGTCAGTGTAGTATGTGTTTATGTGTGTGTGTGCCTGTCTCTCTGTGTGTGGTACGTGTCTGTGTGTGTCTGTGTGTATCTGTGTATTTGATTTTCATTTGGTGTTCAACATGTTAAATACATATGTTTGAATCACATGAGTTCTAAGTAACCAAAGGTGAGTGAGGCGGACTCATGGAGAATGGTCTTCTTCCCTAGTCTTTATGATGTTGCAGGGCCATTATGTAACTTCAGTGGAGTTAAATTTCTATCATCCGGTGTTCTATAGTTCATTATACTTAGTGTCTACTAATTGATCCAAGCTTGCCTACAAAGTCAATGCCATGCCAGTATGACAGCTGCAGGCACAGTACGCTATCCTTAATAGATGTCTGGACTTGGGAAGACTGTGATCTGACTGGCAGCTTCCCAGGACACAGGAAATGGACTGGTTACATTATTTCTGGGGTATGAATCATCTAAATTATAAGTCAAGCCTCTAATCCATGAGGTATATATAGCTGCCTCTTGGCAGACAAGGTGAATGAGTAAGATACAGTTGCCAGGAGCAGGAAATATGGGCACGTCACCTTGTTTGGGTGAGGCCCAATTTAAAGTGAGGCAGCTGGGAAAGAGGAACAGCCCTTGATTCTAGTCCCCTGCGAGGTCAGCTACTTACAGTTATCATGGACACCGTCTGTTCGTGGTTTTTAAAGCTTATTTTTAAAGAAGGATAAATTGTGCATACTCTATACAAATGAATCATTTGAAATTCTCTGGTTATGTATCTCTCTGCTAATTACTTTATGCACTAATAATGCAAATGAATTCTAAAATACATAGATGTTCTTCATTTGCTGACAAACCATAAAAGTAATGTTATTTCACTGAATAACTATTGAGGACACCAGTGAAACCAAAATTATCACGTGTGATCATGAACATGGGGTTTTTCTTTGGGCAGTGACGTGGTCTTGGTAATTTTTGTGACCGCCCTATACAGTGCTCATATTTCTACCATTATATGCTAAAAGGAAGATTGTCTCACTCCTTCCCTGGGAAAAATAGCTCTGCCTTCCACAGTAGGAAACTCAGCCAACATCCTTGTTCTCACAAGTCAGGAGTAATCCAAAGGCTGAGCTCAAAGACCACTAGCAAGAAAAATAAAAGAAGATGAGTCTCATACGGCTTATCTTTCTACCTCAGAGTATCTAAGGAGTAGATTTCAGTTTGTAAAATACTTTGAAACTTGAGCAAAACTTTTCAACGATGAAACATATTTTTCTCCTCTAGAGATCTGCATATGGTTGCACATGCCTGTAATCCCAGCACTCAGGAGGAAAAGGCAGGAAGATTGCCACAACTCTGAGGCCAACCTGGTCTACACAGTGAGTTGCAGAACAATTAGGACTCTATAATGAGACCTTATATCAAAAGGATTCTCTTCCCCTCCTTTTGTTTTCTCTATCTCCATTTTTCATTTAACTTTCTTCCAAAGTATAGACAGGAAAATAGTGTAAGAGCTAGATTGTCTCTGCATACTTACTATTATTGTTTCCATATTTGATTGACATTCCTGAAAACCTGATCATCTCTGCACAACAAACTCTTGCGCCTACTATGCCTAAGAAAAGTGAAACTAGAAGGCTTCTCTGTTCCTCATTTCATGCACTCAAGGTAACTTAATAACTTATATTCACACAGGACCAAGATATGCCAGACACTGAGGAAGTTATATGTATTAACTCATTTAACCACTATGCCACAACAAATCTGTAAGGCTATTTATTACATTCCTCTTGGAGGAGGTGTGATGGCTGATATTATCAGCTTGACTGGATTTGCTAGGAGACAAGCCTCTGAGCGTGACTATAAGGGACTGTCTTGATTAGGTAAGTCTCTGGCCTAGCTGGTGCAAGATTATGTTGATTAAGTTCACTGAGGTAAGAAAACTCATCTTAAAAGTGGATAGCACCTTTCCCAGAGCTTGAGTCTTAGACTAAGTAAAAAGAAGAAACCCAGCTGAACACAAGCATCCATCACTCACTACTTAGTGGCTGTAGATGTGATATAACCAGCTTCTTAATCTCCTTCGGTTAGGGCTTCCCTGCCATGGTGAGCTATATCCCTGAACTGTGATCCAAAATAAACATTTATTACCCTAGGTTGCTTTTGTTAGAGTATTTTCTCACATCAACATAAAAAGTAACTAAAACATAAAATTGATACCAGAAATGGGTCATTAGCATGATAAACCTGACCATGGGATGTTTAGGCCTCTGGTACTTTTATGGCTGGAATGTAAAAGACTTTAGTACTCTGAGATAAAGAAAAACAAAACAAAACAACAACAACAAAACCCACCTCCCATGTCAGAACAAGAGATTAATGGGCCATTCTGGAGAACACATAGAACAGAATCCTAAGAGAAACATGGAAGGCAGAGGCCTGGTTCAGGAAATATCAGAGGGGAACAAGGACTCTACAAGGAGCTTGGCTAGGGGCCATCTCCTGATTAGTTTGCCTGTCAATGACACAGCCCAGAGTTATCTGAAGGGGTCTCAATAAGGGGATTGATTCAATCAGACTGGCCTGTGAGCATATCTCAGGGGCATTTTCATGGTTTCTAATTGATGTGGGAGGGCCCAGCCCACTGTGGGTAGCACCCATTTCTTGGCAAGGAGTCCTGGGCCATATAAAATAGCTGAGCAGAAGCTGAGGACCAAGCCAGCAAGCAACATCACTCTGTAGTTCTGTTGCAAGATCCTGCCTTGAGTTCTTGCCTTGGCTTCCCTTTATGATGTGCTGTAAGCTGTAAAATGAAGTAAACCCTTTCCTCCCCTAAGTTGTTTTGGTCATGATATTTATCACAGCAAAAGAAAGCAACCTAGAACAGACCATCTGTGTGAGATTTTGGCCAAGAATATAGCTTCACACAGCCTGCATTCTGAGAAGCTGAATGAAGGTGAATTTAAAGATAAGAGAAGAAATGCATGGTGGATGGAATTTCAAAAC